CTAAAGGATCTCAGAGGAAATATATGCCATGGAATTCAAATTATATTTTTAGTTATCAAAGAGTGGAACATTTACAAATCTGTAAACATGTATTTCACAAAGCTGTTCCAGATACTGACTTCCAGATAATAATTTGAACGGAGCATTTACAAAGTTTTAGAACAATCCTTATGTATTTATGCTATGATATATAACATTCTTCAGAAGATGTGCTGCCAAGTCATAGGGTTCATATGGTAACTTGAGGTTGCAAGCTGAAACTTGTCATGTTACAGTGATGGATTAATGAACCTTTCCCACATGTAAGGTCAGATGTAACTATGTGACAGTTTATGGCACCTAAACTGTCTTCAGTACCTGGGAGTCCTATAATTCGAGTAGCTCGCCTCATCACAACTTCAAACTGTGAGCAATGTGCAGGATTGCTAGGAGATTCTAGTACCTATTATCACCTTCCAGTTGACTGCCTGTCAGACATAGGAATGCTCTCTGAATTTAAATGGGTTTGGGAAATTAGGCCAACTTGGAGGGGTTTCAAATTTGTTGGGTCTTTGAAATATTTAATCCACAACCCTTTTTTCTTGTTTATTGATGAAAGAATACTTGGGATTTGCAGGAAAAAATATTTTTTACATTTAAAGATGCATTCTGAGATCTTGAAGTGATGTTATATTAGTGACAGGATTGTTATACAGAGAGAAATAACCTCATTGCTCATGTTCCTGGAGATGCTCGAACTTAAACACCACCTATGCAGAATCACTACTGAAACAAAAACAAACTGAAACATGGATGCTGTCTTCCAAAAATTATTACAGAAGAAATCTGATTCGAAACATTTCTACAGATATAAGAGTATAAATGGGGGGGGGTTGAGTGTGTGGATGGGGGTCATTGTTTGAGTGTGGATGGGTGTGTGTTACAACCTCAGTCAGCAATATTCAATGCAGCCTGAAGATAATGGAGAGTAGACCAGACGATCCAGTGTTTGTGTCTGACTGGGTTATCAGTGTGGAAATTGCAGTGACCACACTGCCTCAGTGAATACTGATTATGATTAGTTGATTTGTTCGAATAAACTCTCCTGGAATATCTATATGATGGGGATCAACCCCATGGGTATTTATGGGTCATGAGAGGCGACTAAATGGATCATAGGTCAGCCTCAGTGTCTTGGTTGACAAACTAACTCACTGCCAGATCCCTGGGGGAGTGGAGGGCATGCCAACATTTTCCTGCTCAGTAGCTATGACAATGCTGCATTTAAATGCAAAATACAGATAGAGAGTATTCAACAAGATGCCATCGCCCTATGCGTTGGCTTGTTTAAAGGTTACACTTTCATCAAACCTTTCTCTGGTGGTAAGAAAATGACATCGTATTGCTTTGTGCTAATGAACAAGAGAAAACAATTTTGTCAGGGAAGATGTCAAATTTGCAATTATACATCACAAGACAAGATATTTACTTTTTCAGTTTTAATCCATTTTGCTAGCCATTGTATGATATGCAAGGATTATTTGAAATTAATAGATCTATTTTACCAAGAGAAGTATTTTCTAATATTGTATCATATTAATTCCAGATGTTGCTGTATTAATGTAACACGCATGCACGCACGCACGCATGCCGCATGCGCGACGCGAGCGCGACGCATGCGCGCATGACGACGACGCACGCACGCGACGCACGCCGCGACGCGACGCGCATACGCACGCACGCTCGCACGCACGCACGCACGCGCGCACGCACGCACGCACGCACGCACGCATGCAGATATAAAATCATGACTAAGGTTATGCAGGAGCACATGGGTGTATTGCCAGATAGTTTTCATGCATGGAACAATTTGAAATGCAACCATTGTCGTTCTTGTGTGATGTCAATATTTCCATCGCAAAAACAGTTTGATCATCCAGCTACAACAAATATGACTATTAACAAAACAAAGTGTATATATGTAGCCATTATCTGTCAACTAAACTTCATTTTGAGGATTGAGTAGAGACAATCATGGTGGTTGCTGTGAATAATGTAAACGGAAGTTGTAAGTATCGGAAGGGAAACACGATTTTGACGCAATTAATATAAACATTATTGAATGACATTTTGATTGAAATTGATAAACTAGATTACAAACATAAGTCCAGATATGCAAAGAAAATATTTTATTATGACATAGTGAAACAATAGGATTAACTTGCGTAGTTCAATGCAGATTTATTGATACTCTATTTCCGATTACTGATCATGACAAGAAAATGTATGAAGGTTGATGATTTGGCTTATGATTGGTGGTTGGAACATGCCATTTTGATTCTGATTTTAAGGGTCAGCTATGACATTGGCTAATCTATGGTCATATATGGTTTCATTTGAAACCTCTCTTTGAAGAGTCTGATGCTTAATAAGTTGACAACATTAACTTAATGAATATTGTTCTTATGTCGAGAATAGAGATCATGAGAAATTGATGATGATGTGGCATTAGATTGATTAAATTTCTCTCAAAGACTTTTTTCACTGAGGGAAATAATACATGGCTGTATATTCCATTGATGCCAACATCTGTTAATGAAAGAGTGCTTTAAGCCTGTGTGGCATCATATAAAGAGCAGTTGTGCAGGTATGCTCTGCATGCATTGTGTTCTCTATCCCTGATTCAGATGGTACACCCAGTAGGTACAGTCTGTCAGTTGAGCAAACTATGTAAACATCCATATGTCACAAAAATACTGAAACATGATTTTTTTTCTCTCCAAAACTTAAGCTTTTAGCATACCCAGTTTGTAGAATTTATCAAAATTATTCAAAAGGCAAAATGCATATAAATGTCATACAAATAAAGCATAGTGTAAAGTGTATAGTGCCAGATGCATATTATATACATTATAAGTTACTACTATCTATGCTGAACAGTACGACTTCAGTATATATGGCACAGATAAATGACTGTAACATAAGCTACACAATATGATTACAATATAAGCTACACAACATGATTACAATATAAGCTACACAATATGATTACAATATAAGTTACACAACATGATTACAACATAACCTACACAGCATGATTACATTATAAGCTACACAGCATGATTACAATATAAGCTACACCGCATGATTACATTATAAGCTACACAACATGATTACAATATAAGCTACACCGCATGATTACAATATAAGCTACACAGCATGATTACATTATAAGCTACACAACATGATTACAATATAAGCTACACAGCATGATTACAATATAAGCTACACAACATGATTACAATATAAGCTACACAGCATGATTACAATATAAGCTACACAGCATGATTACAATATAAGCTACACAGCATGATTACAATATAAGCTACACAACATGATTACAATATAAGCTACGCAACATGATGACAATATAAGCTACACAGCATGATTACAATATAAGCTACACAACATGATTACAATATAAGCTATGATTACAATATAAGCTACACTGCATGATTACAATATAAGCTACACAACATGATTACATTATAAGCTACACAGCATGATTACAATATAAGCTACACAACATGATTACATTATAAGCTAGACAGCATGATTACAATATAAGCTACACAACATGATTACATTATAAGCTACACAACATGGTTACAATATAAGCTACACAGCATGATTGCAACATATGCTACACAGCATGATTACAATATAAGCTACACAGCATGATTACAATATAAGCTACACAGCATGATTACATTATAAGCTACACTGCATGATTACAATATAAGCTACACTGTATGACTACAATAATAGCTACACAGCATGATTACAATATAAGCTACACAGCATGATTACAATATAAGCTACACAGCATGATTACAATATAAGCTACACAGCATGATTACAATATAAGCTACACAGCATGATTACATTATAAGCTACACCGCATGATTACAATATTAGCTACACAGCATGATTACATTATAAGCTACACTGCATGATTACAATATAAGCTACACAGTATGATTACAATAATAGCTACACAGCATGATTACAATATAAGCTACACTGTATGACTACATTATGACATGTCACACATATTAAGATACAGACTCTGTTAGTTAAATCAAGTTCAGACAAATAATAACAGCAGAATTACTTACTGGGACCGTAATAGCTTTAGCAAAACAGTTTTACAGTATCTGAAATGGCAACAAGGGACAATGAATGTATAACCGTTTAGGAACAGGATTTGTAGAAAGGTATATGATCCTGCTTTTGAGGCAAATGCTAGTTTAGGGTCTCATTAGTAGTTTTGACTGTCAGCTAGAGTCTGAAAATATAAGAGTCTAGGACAGCCTAGACAGTCGATCAAAGTCATTCCAAAACTTATACAAGGCCGACATGTGGAATGGTCAAGAAAGGGAATACAAAAGGCTAGGAAGTCGGTCCCATTGAATCAATAAATTTGCACCAAAACAGATGCTACCAGCCTGTTAATTATCTCTTGCAGTTTGAGAGGGATTTCATTGTCATTCTCTAGGGAGGTTTCTTTTAAGGTTACACTTGTCCAACTCAGGTACTGTAATTGTGCACAGTGGTATACAATGGTATACAATTGTATTCAGATGTCGTCATCGAGAGTGCGTATACTGGGATAAATTAAGTAACTCCTCTGAGAATTTCTATTTCTGTTTCTATGTTCTCTTATTCACCATAATGTGTTCTTTCATGCATATGAATTGATTGTAGTCATTATTTGCAAAAGCTTTTATCATGATTGTGTTGTTTGCAGTAAGAGAGGTAAGGTGGTGAAGTTGATAGTGCATTTGTATGTTGTGCTAAGTACTCTAGTTCCATTCCATAATTCGAAGTCAGTGTTGTCAGAAGAAAATACCCATAAGATGGCTACTGTCTTGGTGAAATCAGTGATCTTTGCTTCCTCGAGATGCCAGGAATGTATGTGCCACAAGTGTATTACTTTTTGAACAAGTTGTTGGCAGAAACTGTCAAATAAGTTGTAAATGGCAATCTTTTTATTTCAAAAACATTAAACAATTCCTAAATAAAAATATTATTAAATGTCACGATCAATACAATGTTATTGAAGGTGGTGATCTTTGAAAGGAGAGATGGCCAAGGGAATGAGAGCTTCATGAGATATGACAAACTGCGAGGATGACCCATAAAATCCCCATTGATAGTTCCAAGGTACTGTTATTTGGCTGGCATTACCATTTCATAAATGAAACAAAATGTAGTTAAAAGCTTTCATTTATGAACATTTTATGCATCGGTACTGTTTATTATCTTGATTTAAAACTAATTGCATTCCTTCAACATCCACTTCATCAAAGTCCTCCATTGCAGCTCTGGGTTTTGCTGCTTGCCCTTCAGCTGTACAATGTATTGCCAGTCTAAGCATGAATAATCACAATCAAATCAAATGGAATTATTTTTGCATTCCAACGTTAACCTATTTTCAATAAAAAACATTTTTGAGAGGAATCACAGGCTAATTCCAACAACATTTCGGTTGTGAAGGCTGAACAAGAAAGGTCAGAGCTTCAGAGGAAAATTGGATTGCCTCCATGCCAACCTCTAGCTGAGGCTCAGCATAGGCCAAGGCTTGGTATAGGAAGGAGATATTAGTCTATCTGTTAAAGGGAAGAAACCTACTTAATCTAGTTAGGTTTTCTTAGCCTTGCTATACAGCTTTGGAGCAAAGACTAAAACTTTATACTAGTAGTCCTCATGGCCACTCACAGGCTGTAGACTGGGCAGACAGCTGAGCGTGGATTAGGAGATTATTTCACACTGATATCAATATATTGATCCGAAGTCAGCTGAAGGAGAGAATGGCGAAGAGAGAGACGGAGTGAGAGAGATCGTGAATTGACGATTTTGCCGTTGCTGAGGCAGGGAGGTTTCAGACCCACATGCATACAGTGGTATCAGCAGCTGTCACTGTCATTGTATGTAGTGGAGTACTGCCAGTCCACTGGCTCAGTCATTCCAGTCGCCTCGCTGCTTCACGTCTGCTACTTGCATCTGGCTGTACACCACAGCGCGCTGGGCTGCTACTGGCTTGACTGTCTGCTCCTGTTCTGTGTGGCAGTGGAGGTTGTAGGGTTAACCCTGCCTTGATGTATCAAGACTGGCTCTTGTGACTGGGCGTTTGTTTGGAAGATTTGTCTTGAAGTGTTTCCTGGAGGTATTGAAAGGAATGATTTACCATATATTTGATCACTTCATGATGCGATATCCTTAAGGTGAGGCAATACTTCAGCATACTTACACTGCCTATCTATGAAGAAAGTGTCATCCTTTGCGTGTTGTGTATTACCCTGGATAATCAGAAGTGTTTCACTTCTGGCTGAAAGTTTTTAGGAAGAATTTACAGATTGATCTCATCAGACTGGAGGAAAAGTTGCATTGAAATGTTCTATTGATGTCTCCTTTAATGTAATTCCTTGTGACATCTACGAGGTATAACTGGTCACTGAAGCTATTGTACTGCCCCATCATCAGGCACGTATGCAGCTCTAGCCACTAGTATCATCAGACACAATATATAGATTGCCTATCTTTCACTTCCCTTTCATTCATAGTATTCTGGCTCCCCTCCGCCTGATCATAATTACTAGATATTCTTCGGACACCAAAGCCTTACCTAAGTGAATTTTAGCAGTGTTCTGCCAAAGCTTTTATTGGAGCTTAGGACACAGTCTGCATTTGACACAACAGGCTAGTATTCCAACCCTCTGAAAGTACTGTTACACGTGGAATCAAGGTTTTTCCAGTCATCTCATTTTTCCGTGCAGAAAATGATCCCCATCAATTTGTGGCAGGAGCAGACGACACGATTAGATTTTCAATTTACATAACAGCCGGGAAACCCCTTTCTGACGGCATCGGCAGCCTAGTTAAGAGAACCAACATCAAGAAACACGGAAGAAGAGGGCTTGGACTTGATCAGTTGCTTCTGTGAGGAATGCATGTTCCCTGACTCCCTGAAAATCAGCAGGTACGGCTGACTTGCCAGTTTACAGAACCTAATTATGGATATCTGTGGATGTAGTGCATGAATTGCGACTCTTGATGCACATTACTTGAAGGCCCAGTGGGATGTGTTCATGACCACTATCAATTTTATGCATACTATCTCGCTAAGCTTACAGTGGTAAGGGATTAAACCGACAGCTACATGCCCTCGGCAGGGGAAACACATACCTTTCAGCGTATCATGTAACGTGGGGAAGCGAGGGCGGCACGTGGAAGAGAGAAGGAAGAGCAGTGAGGATCATAGGGAGGGATGCTGCTTGATGGTCTTGTATCGCATCACAGAGGCTCCCTATGTGGGGATTCTTAAAGCAGCATTTTGGATTTTAACTTTTATGGATCATTGAAGACTATATTTTGGATTTAGATGTGGAACATAGGCTGTGAATTTTACTATTGTTTTAATGTGAGTGCTTCTGTCAAATTTGGATTTTATCATCATTCATGACATGGGGTTCCTATTGCATTTGGTGTGTGGTTGAAGTGATCAGTTAGCAACTGTATTTGAAGGCAAGAAGACAGGAGTTTACAATTGGACAAGGTTTACTGGATACTAGCACACCAACTGGTGAGTACTCTCATTTTTTCAATATCACCGATGAGGCTTTATTGAGACCAAGTAATATAAGGCTGGCTAGGAGCACCAGCTTGAAGTTGTATACATACCATTGAAATAATTGATTATTGCCTCAGGTTGAACATTGTTGCTCATTTCAGGATAAATTTCCCTTGGGGCTTTATGCATGGTCTGTTATTCACAGACGCTATTTGTATGCCAAATTCTGCTTGAAAATAAATATACTGGTAAAAGCAGATAGAATTGATAAGAAATAGATTCTATGGAAAGCAGTAATCTGTTGTGAGCCTTTTTTATACAGGTTGTATACTAGAAAGGTACAAAGCATCTGTGCTGTTGAGCTACTTAATACATTTCAATAGAGAGGATATTCACAGCTAAGTCGTGGCCACTTAAGACTTTGTTAATGAATACCATTGTTAATTTTACAGAAATGTGTTAATCCAGTGTACATGTTTGTACCAGTAAGCCATATTGAACATGCTTCTGTGTCTCTTTGAAACAGTTCATACTGGTAATGAAGTTAACATTTTAGTTTCTAATCTGGTCACATTGTGTTATGCTGCACCTACAAAAAATAGTTCAAATATCTTCCTAAAAAGTAACTTCAATTTTGCAAATGTCATATGATTTAATGTGTGAAAAACACATACTTATGAGAAGAGTATTACATGATGTTAAGATGAGAGAATTGTGAAACGTATTTTTTAGTATGGGAAGCCCTCTGTTGTGGAGCCTCTCTAATGAGCAAGCCGTATTTCTTCTCTCTATCTCTCACATTGCACGGCCCTCCTCCTATGTAAGTGTCAGTCAGTCTGGAATCACTTGGTCATTGGACAGTTCAGAAGGAGGTATTTTTTAAGCACTGTAGACCATGTGAGCTTCCAGAGCACTCTGCGTGTTCTAGTATTCTCCTTGTATAGGCATTTGTTAGTAGTGTTTTGTATTGATTGTTCTGGAAATAATTGATTGGAAGTGTTTACCTTGCATGGATTACTGTTTACTGGGGCACTCATATCCAATACAGGTAAGATATAAGTAATGTTTGTGAATGAAATATGGTTGGCAAGCAAGACGACTATTAATTAGCCTCATGACTCTTGATATTTAATTTTGATGTTACTTTTATAGAAATTTCAACTAACAGTGATAATTGTATCATGGTTACAGTTACAGGTGTTTTGTATATAGTGACATTGAGGATGCAAGTTTATTGGATGATGATGATGATGATGATGATGATGATGATGACGACAATGATAACAGCCGACGACAATGATGATGATGAAGAAAATGATGATGATGGTGGTGGTGGTGTGATGATTGGTTGTTTGTTTGGTGTTTAACATTGCGCTCAGCAATATTCCAGCAATACTGGAAGCAGGGTTTTACATGACGCATGATTCCTGCGTATTTGACGCAACAATTTTGTAAATGACTCTCAAAATATTATCATACGAGTCAAGCAACGTAAGTTTTATGGGTGGCCCTCACAATTCAGTACAATAAAATCGATTTGATAAGCAAAAATTGATATTGTTTGATGATAGTTTGACTTTTACAGAGCTGTCAGATTGTTCCAGAGGAGACATTAATCCTGGCTGTTTGAATTGAACAATGCTGTAGTTTCATTTGGTGGTGTGACATACACAGTTACATACTGAGAATGATTAACACAAAGAAATATTAAATGTTCATGACTCCCAAATGTTGAAAATGAGTCCCAAAAATATATATTGTGAGTCACCATGACTCCCATTTTTAAAAGTCTGTGTAAAACCCTGTGGAAGTGTACTGTAAATGGTGTACAAGTATTTATATAAGATTTAAAAAAGTGCATTTGGCAGACAAACTGAAAAAAGTACATTATTTGAAATATTTATTTTTGTAATCCTATTTCCTAAACCTTGGGGGAAAAAATTAATTCAATTTTGGAATTGTTACTGTCATTGCTGCAGACTTGTGGTTGAAATATCAGCCTCTCAGAAAATCTATATTAATCCCAGGTTGTATAACCCAACTCACTCACTCATCAGTAATCATACTCTAACCTTATACAGAGTGAGGTTGTCGACAGGAAGAGCTTGATTCCCAGACATCCAGAGAAGGTAGTGGTTGTTAGACATTATTGGTAGTGACAACATCACTGGCACAAAGACACTGCTGCTGACTGGGCAGATCAACAAGACATCAACAAATTTTTTTCCTGTATGTATATTTGAATTACTATGCTTCATGTTTGAAGTTCAAGGGTGTTGTTTAACCAGAGTCAAAGAGGGGAGAGATGAAATGTCAGGTTTGCTGAAATTACAAATAATGAAACTTCATTTGATTCCCGTGATGTTCATTCGAGATATCAGCTCTGTGAGTGGAAGGGGGGAATTAGAACAGTGGATTAGAGTAAGGAGATGATTTCAGGGCCACTGCCCCCGGGGGCAGGAATATTGTACCAGTAACATTACTCACTTCTAGTTAAACTGATTACTGTAAATGATACAGTGGAAGGAATGTTATGTTGTAAATAATTCATTAGACTGAAGAGAAGCTATAACATGTATTTGAAGTGCCCATCAACTGCTATGTGGTAATACTATTTTCTCAGTGGTTTTGGCAGGTGCTTGTTCATCATAATGTTGTGTAATGGAAGTGGGGAGATTTTCTGAAGCAGGTGTGTGTCAACAATGCGCTGTACGTTTATTAAAATAAGTGCTTGGTTATTTCACTTAATGACACTGTTTGCTAATGACAGCAGGTGCTTGTCTTTCTGAGAAGATAAATATGTATTTATTGATGTTATTTTAGTTGGAATTGGTTGTAACTGCTTGTCAAAATTGTTGTAATGTGTATGTATGTTTTAACAAGTGCATGTCAATTTGAGGAGTGTTTTAAAGGAGCTGTTGGTAAATATAAGATAGTTACATATCTTATTATCTTTAATAACTTGTGAAAAAGATATGCTATGCCTCCTAGCAATGATGTAGTCACATGAGGTCTACAAGAATCATTCATCATATTGTGTCCATATGTTGGGAATTTATCCTGTGTTTCCTGCATAGCAAGGGAACGCATGGACAGTCAACACAACCTACAACACGATTCAGTTTTTAATCTTGGAAAGCAGTTTGAACAATAATAATAATAATAGGGATATTTATAAAGCGCCATTGTCCACCCATGAATGCATGCTCATGGCGCTGAGAACCTATGTACAAGGAGAAATGAAGAGTCACTGGAAGGCTTTAGTGAAGAAAAAAGTCTTAAGATTTTTCTTGAAAGAATCAGTTGTTGCAGAAAGTTTTATGTGGAGTGGCAAAGAGTTCCATAGGAGTGGAGCAACATGCTGAAAACATTTCTTTCCATAGGATGAGAGGCGAGCCGGGGGAGTTTACAAGGGAGTTAATTTTGTTCAGTTCTGTAGCACAAACTGTTACAACTAAATATTACAGGTCTATATCACATAAGACGCATTGAGTCTGGATGGGATAAACCAGTGGTTGATAACATGAGCATATCTTGCCAGATATTAACATCCTTATGGTCGGATGACAAAGACAATCAGACAGGCCACAATGTTAACCATCCAAATCACTCTCAATGCAGTTGGCACTGAACATTGATAGATATAGATAGATATAGCCAACTTGAGACCTTTTCTTCCCTGATATGGTGTAAGTTCATGCATGTTGGAATATGTGATTTATAGAAGTCAAATGTCATACTCGTACATGGTAAACAACAGATCTATTAGAGTGAGTTTAGTCTTGCACCACTTTTAGCAATATTCCAGCCATATAACGGTAGGGAACTCCAGAAATTGGCTTCACACATTGTACCCATGTGGGGAATTGAACCCGGGTCTTCAGTGTGGCAAGTGAACACTTTAACCACTAGGCTACCACCCCAGCCAAGATCTGTTAGAATAGCTTATATGTGTTTCTGTAAGATGTTGTACCACTGCAACATACATGTTGATGCAGGATTTCTTTACATAACATATAAGAATTATGTAACTTTTTGTTTCCTTTGGATAAGCCGAGCAGGTGCATGACTGTGTTCACATGTGGCCAAAAATACAACAATACTTCTCTGGAACCTCTCATCTGTATCTGAACAACATGACTGTCATTCCAATTCAAAAATATAAAACATATTGAGCTCATATCCATGCATACAAAGTTTATTCTTTTCATTAAAATTGGATTTAGTACTCAGTAGATCTTAAAAATGCTGAATTTAATTATTTGATGGTTACAATAACAATAACGTGCTGATGTAATTTCCTTTATTCCATGAAAACAGCATGTGTTGTGTGTCATAGTACCTACAGGTAGGGGTAGTATGATACAGGAATGTCTCTTCCTTAACATCTGGTAACATATTGATGTTTTACAACAGCTATTGGTTATTCATTGTGAAATCTCTGCTTGATACTCATATCATCAAGGTAAACATGCATACAAATAGGTTTGTGCAACATATTGGTGTACTTGTCTGCTTGAAGTGTCTCACGTGACATCCTCCTTATGTGAACAAGAATATGTTGTATATAGCTGTCATTGCCTGTACCTTGCAACAGGTGCTTGCATTATGACAGACATGCATGGGTCCAGCTTTTTAATGAATTTGTCAACATGGTCTCTCAATAGCAGTTTTCATAACAATACACTAGGTACATTGTGTTTCATATTTGTTTTCTCATAGGATTGAATACATGGTTTTTAATACTGATATGAAAATATTGGGAGCCATTGTTGGTGATAGCCAAGGGGGGTTATGAAAGGACGTGTTCATCTGTGTGAGCACGTGCAGGTTTGATGAACATTGCTTGCCATGTAGAAGCATTTGCTTGCCATGTAGAAGCATTTGTTTGCCAGGTAGAAGCATTTGCTTGCCATGTTAAGGTCCTGAAATAAATTCCCAACATCTGTATTAAATGCAAAGCCCATGGTTGTTACTTCCTGTAGGAGCTGAGATATGATGTTCTTATTCTT